CCGAGGAGAGTTAAGAAACTCTGGACAGGAAATTCCTTATCAAGCTAGGCCTCCCCTCGTCATCAGGGGATTGTTGAAATTTATAAGAAATTTATGAGAATGAGGAGCAACCTTGCTGAAATATACAAGATTCTTAGGGGAGCTGATAGGGTAGATGCAGAGAGGTTGTTTTGTCTTGTGGAAGCGTCTAGGATCAGACAGCATAATCTCAGAATAAGGGTTTGCACATTTAAATCAGGGATTAGAGGTATTTCTTTCTTCTCTCAGAAGGTAGTGAATCTGTGCACGTCTTTACTGCAGAAGACTGCCGAACCTGGATCATAAAGTATATTCAAGGTTGAGATAGACAGAAGTTTAGTCATAAGAACATAAGAATTAGGAGCAGGAGTAGGCCATCTGGCCCCTCGAGCCTACCCCGCCATTTAATAAGATCATGGCTGATCTTTTTGAGACTCAGCTCCACTTACCCACCCACTCACCATAACCCTTAATTCCTTTACTGTTCAAAAATTTATCTAGCGTTGCCTTAAAAACATTCAGCGAGGTAGCTTCAAACGCTTCACTGGGCAGGGAATTCCACAGATTCACAACTCTTTGGGTGAAGAAGTTCCTCCTGACCTCAGTCCTACATCTGCTTCCCTTTATTTTGAGGCAATGCCCTCTAGTCCTAGTTTCACCTGCCAGGAAACAATCTCCCTGCCTCCACCTTATCTATTCCCTTCATAATCTTACATGTTTCTATAAGATCTCCCCTCCTTCTTCTGAATTCCAGTGAGTATAATCCCAGTCTACTCAGTCTCTCCTCATAATCCAACCCTCTCAACTCTGGAATCAACCGGGTGAATCTCCTCTGCACCCCCTCCAGTGCTAGTATATCTCTTCTCAAGTAAGGAGACCAAAACTGCACACAGTACGCCAGGTGTGGCCTCACCAGGACCCTATACAGCTGCAGCATAGCCTCCCTGTTTTTAAACTCCATCCCTCGAGCATAGGCAGACAAAATTCCATTTGCCTTTTTAATTAATTATCTGCTGCACCTGCAATCCTACTTTTAGCGATTCATGCACAAGGACACCCAACTCCCTCTGCACAGCAGCATGCTGCAATTTTTTACCATTTAAAACATAGTCCATTTTGCTGTTATTCCTACCAAAATGGATGACCTCATACTTATCAACATTGTACTCCATCTGCCAGACCTTTGCCCACTCACTTAGACTATCTATATCCCTCTGCAGACTTTTAGTGTCTTCTGCACACTTTGACACACCACACTTAGTTCCCAACTCCAAATCATCTATGTAAGGAAGGAATCCAGGCTAATGGAGGAAAGTGAAGCTTGAGGATTATCAGATCACATTGAATGCCAGAGAAGACTCGTGCACTGTATGTGGTCTCATTATCTTCATGCTTATCTTCGTCCTGAAAGGAATCCTTTCCTCCTTGCATAGCACATTCCTTTCCCTTTGCCAACTCACACATTGTAGAGGGCACTACACACCACTATGAAGCATGATACCCTGTCCGGCCTTTCCTGCATGGCAACACTTGACTGGTCTAGGCATCAGAACCTCATCCTCACAAGATCTACAGGCTGCTCCACAGTGGCCCTGGTTGAAGTGTAGGCAGCGCTGTATCTCTCCTTGGCAGCAGTCTGAGGATTTCTTCGAGGTGAAGCAGAACTGGAGAGGCGTAACACTTGTTGCCCTAAAACCATGCTTGTATGGGCTAAACTTAATCCTAACTCACATTTATTCCTACATAGACAAGACACCACTCGGCAGAGGTACAATATGTAGGAATGAAAGCAATCTCCTCTTTTTTTTCTTAAAAAACCTTTGTGTCACCTTTTCCACAATTATTTGCTTATCCAGTAAAAACAGTCAATAACCCACAGTTCTTCTTGACTCCTGAATTTTTCCAAGAAATCACATGATGAATGTCCAATAATGTCCGAGCCACGTTATATTCGATCACTGAGGACATGGTCACAATCGCTGATATCAAAGTGGGACCTGTTAGCATATCTGAGGGAACAGCTTGGTCTCATGGGGAAGTTAAATCAAGTCATGGTCACTCTCTTACTCTGCCTTATGTATTCTCCCCTGCCACAAACTGCTTTACCTCCATGCTCATATCCTCACAATCATCCTGTTGTGTGTGAGGGCTTGGCAGATGTATTGCATTGGTTTTGCAACTGAAGGAAACATTTACTTCTCCCAATTTGGACTCTGTTTTCCAGATTGAGACTTTGTGCACAGTTGATTTCTCACTACTATGCTCAATTTCCTACCTTGTGTTCACCAAGAGTGACTTGCAGGCTTCACTTGTGACCTATTATTTGGCCCCATTCTTCATGCTCCCTTATTGTGATCCATGTGGTTCTTAAGACCATTCACCAGCCCCCTTTTACCATTTAACATCATCATTAATGTAACTTGCTTTACTGCTAGAACGCAGAATTCTCAAGGTGTCTATGCCCTGGCTAGCCCTGCACCCTCCCCATATCAAGGCAAGAGTAATCGTAACTTAATTTAACTTCTCTTTCGAGACCGAGCTGTCCTCTCAGGTATACTACCAGGTCCTACCTTATTATCTAACTGCTTACTACTCGAACTCCTGAGTTAGGAATGGTGAAAAGGGTAACCAGCTTCTTGCTTCAATGTTTATGGCTACTACTGATAAATGTAGAGGACAGAATTATGTCTATATGTTCAAATAACATGGACAGCAAGTATACTCAGGGTCTAAATAATATAATGTAAGATAAAATACAGTCATGGCAAAATACCGTGCTGTGATACATCGTGCGTGTTTATATTTTTGTGAATGTTCCCTTGCACATAAACAGTTAAACCATTGTACTTCAAAGGCTACACACGAGACAGATTTGAATGGTTACATGAGCAGTGTTCCAGGGATGATATTGAGATTTGCTTTTGGTATAACTTCTGAATGGACCCCTTCTATTTTTTTTGCTTTTATACTCGACGCTTTCACACACAACTGTACTTTTTTTTCATCACCAAGTCACCCATGTTACTTTTCACCTTTATCCACCACCACTAAATCACCTGTGTTTCCTATTAATTATTAATTTACTTGCAAATCCTGCCCGGGCAGTGCAATAACACCAATGGTGAGGGAAAGGGGGAGGAATTAAATCAAAATCAAGTTGGAGAGAGAAAATTGACCCTTTGTACCCATGGAAACATACTACGAAACAGATGTGCCTTTCTGATCAAACAGCATAAGCTGCATTAAGCGGCTAACGCAAACTGATCTACAGGGAAGTGGCATTTGCTTATTTTAGTATGTTTTAAATTTGAGTAAGATCTTCCGTGACAGATTGTTTGGCCTTGTCTAAATTCTGAAATAACACAGATTATCTGTGAAAATAGAGGTTTTATGCAGGCTTTTACATTATTCAAGAAGTTTACATTTCACAAACATGAGTTAGCATCAACTGTTTATTTTCCATTACAAAAGCGCTTATTTCAGCTTTTCATAAGTCAAAAACAGCCAAATTGACTCTCCAGTGTGCTGCTGTTTTGAACTTTTGAAATGGCCTAGCTTCAAATCCCAGTCTATATGAAGTGAACAGATCTTGCAGGATGCCATGCGGGCATTTCTACTGGTCTTAATGTCCGTATAGAAAGAGAAAGGCTTCATTCAGAGTTACAGCATGCCACATCAACGGATAATCAGCACTTGTACAAGATGAGCAGAGAAAATAAGCTAGAGAATGGATTAACGACATTTTCTGTTTATTTCATGAAAATCAGTCAGGAGGAGGTTATCAATGTAATAGTGTTTGTGCTAGTAGCTTTAGCTTGTCAGTGCAACCTGATTTCATGTTTTCTTCTGTTAAGTCATGTTAGATATTACAACCATGCTAATCTGAATTTTCTGATATTTTGACCAGCTGAGTGTTGTAAAACTGACATTTTAGAAAACATTGTTTAGTTAACACCAATTAAAGTAATTTTCAGCATGTTTCAAAGACATCTGGTATTGTAATTTAATATTTCAGTGACTCATCAATTTATTGAAATGCATAGAAATATGGCCTTTGCTGTGACTTGCGCAATGCAAGTCCTTAAATTATTACATTGTCTATTGAATACCATCTTCTTTCATGGGTTTATCTTAATTGCTGGTATTCCTAAACTGGTATCTCGGTTTCATTTTGTTATTGGAATTCCAGCCCACCCTGCAAGTATTCAAATTTGAGTCCAGAATTATAGAAGATTGATACACTATTTATGTTAGGTAACCATGTACCAAATGACTCCTGAATGTGACTATAAATTCACATTTAATGCGTGTTTCAGTTGAATGTTAAATGACTGAAAGGACCCAAACTGTCAACAACCTTTTTGGAGTGAGCAGCCTGTTATCTGGAAGGTGCTAGATGTGGACCAGTGTAAATGGATGAATCGAGCACCTCACAGAGGAAAACTGTGTAGTTAAATATTGCTTTGATTTTTGGTATTTACCACAACTTAATGATTCTTTAATCTGATCTCCTATGTGATAAACATTTGTCATAACTTGATGCAGTTTGAATATCCCCTCCTCATTACATTTTCCCACTACATGGCAGGCCTATGAAAAATTCTTTGCAGATGGTACAGTTTAGGAGTTTCATGCCTACTTGAAAAGTTGTTGACAATCTTGATACTGAATTCTGTGCTGTTACTATTGTGTAGTTCTTCATTAAAGCCATTTGAGGAGTCATTTTGTTGTTGGTTCACCCCTAGTTAATTGCTACTTCCCTGATAAAAATAGAGGATGGACGCTAAAGCTGAAGGAAACAACAGCCATTCAATAATGAGCTTTTATCTTTAATACTGAACAGGAGTGCAGAGAAAAGCCATGGTAAATATGTGTATCCCACTTGAGGTTTAGAGTAATTTGATACATTACCACTCAACTATTTGACTAAGATTAATCTTATTAATTTCAAAAAGAGTATTAATTTCCTCTACCCTCTCTAGGAAGGAGAACGCTTTGTGAAGAAGATTGGAGGAGTGTTTGCATTTAAAGTCAAAGATGGCCCTGGTGGCAAAGAAGGATTATGGGTAGTAGATGTTAAGAATGGGAAAGGATCTGTGGATTTCAATTCTGGTAAGGTGAAGTTTCTTCTATAACAAACAAAAGGGATTTTTTTTTGCCTTTTCATCATTAATGATATAAAGGAAGCACCTGCATACTGGTGTCTAGTAGCAACCTTTATTTCTATAATTTATGACTTACTGCTGCTTGTTTGGAGGCTTGGGAGCATTGTGTATAGCAGCCCCATATGTTATAACATTCTGTAAATGCTGGACGCTGTCCATGCCATGATGTTCCCATCAATATAATTGAAGCTGAATTTAATATGAGTTTTCCTTGAATTATTTGCTCTTAAATTCCTCTGCCTAGCAACATCCTGCAATTTTGGATTTCTAAACGGGGGGAAAAAAGCTTACAAGAAAAGCATATGGGCTGATTGGTCATTAGAAGGCCAATTTTAGTGAAGTCTCCAATGTTCCTACTGAGCTGTGTGCATACAGCCGCTCCTCGGTTCCGCATATGGCTATTGGCACGCTGACCGCAGCATTAACTTCCAGTTCTGGAAGTTGCTGCCGTGCATTGGCCTTGGAAGCCTGCACAGCTATTAGGAAAATTAGTGGGAATGCTGATAATGACCCAAGAACTGCTAAAACTTGTTAATGAATGATGCCTGCTATTAGTTAGATTTTCTCTTGTCCAATTAATTCGCTTGGTATTTGGCACAGCACGCAGTTGCAAGTATGAAATAGATACAGTGCAGGGCAATCCTGGGCCTGAGTGAACAGGTAAGGAATCCTTGATGGTACTTCAATCTGATTGGATTTCTTTAATCAATGAGCTGGTCAAGGTCTGTACAAGGAAGTGAAAGTTAGAACACTCGGGTGCAGAAAGAAAAAGAGGGAGAAAAGGGTTGGATAAAGATGAAAAGAATTTTCTTGTAAATATCCAACCAAACTTAAAACCTGGAATAATGAGATTCTACATTTGTAGTTAATTCTCAGTGCCAGAGAGTCTGACTGTCAGTAACAAACATGTCAAACAGTTTGAAGCATTGATTAACTGAATTTAACTTATCCCACTCAGCTTTCTGGGGTGAATTTATTTCACATTTTACAGAGCAAGTGCTGACAGTATGTGTGTCTCAGTGTATTTGAATGGGATCTAGACAGATGTTTTCAAGGAGAAAATGGCATTTCCAACAGTAACTGTTCTCTTTCTGCATTTGATCAAGCAACTGCATGATTTTCATGAGGCATTTGCACATAAATAACAGGCTATTAGCCTTGTTATTTTGACAGTGATTTTTGGGCTAAGATATTTAACAGCAGCTCAGAAGTATAAAGCTTATACTATATGTTGTCACTTCTCGTCAATTAAGACTTCATATTTCACATTAAAATTCAACAGGCATTGGAGAATGTCATATAACAAAACTTAGTGAGGAAAAGCAGCATATGGGGGTGAATATACTGAAATAGAATGTTTTAAAACTAATCCTTTCTGTTCTCCTCTTAAAGTTAATGATCTGAGGTTCTTTTTTGAAGTGTAACATCTTGAGAATTGTAACTGATACCAGTACATCACTTGAAATCCGAGGTGTTCCAGCTTGGGAGGAGGCCATTCAATTCTTTGTGTCTGTTCCAGCTCTCTGCAAGAGCAACTCACCCAGTATCCCTCTCCTGCCTTTTCTGAGTGACCCTGAAAATCTTTCCTTCTCTGATAATTACAGCATTCTCACAAGCAGAACAAACAGGAGATAAAAGAATAAAGCGTAACATTTTGGGATACTAAGAGAATCAAGGAATCATGGGATTGAACAACGGAATAGACTCCAAGGGCCGTGTTGGCCTATTTTTGATCGTATTCGTTATGTACAGTTTAGCTTGTTCACTTTGTGTCCTCATGATAGTCACATGATACAATAGCAATGGAGACATTTGGAGATGGTCAACGTTGCCCTGAACAATGTAATAGCCATTGTCTCACCTCAGAAGCTCCATGCAAACAGACACATAGTAATATATATTATAGAACTATTAAAAAAGTTGGAGCAAAGAAAGAGGTCGTTTAACCCAACATGTCTGTGCTTGAGTAGTTTTACAATTTTCTTGAACTTTGAAGGAAGCTAGTTTCACAAAGTGATGGGTGTAATAGTGTATTTGATTAATCAGTTTTGTTAAGGTTACAACTTTCTGCAAAACATACAGCCTGTGGCCTGTTCTAGTAACTGTGACTGGTGCGTGAGTTAACTCTCTTGTCAATTGTGCTCACCAAAGTTTTGGCAAACACTAGTAATGCCAATAAGCTAGGCTGTCTAGTTGAAGGTTGTCATTGGTGCCACTCAAGTGGTTGGCAGTGATACTTAATAGAAATTAGCCCAAATGTAGAGGCTGAGCACCACTTGTTGCATGTGGACATGAAATGCATCATTTTGTGTGAATCTGAGAATGGAGCTGAATGTTACAATCTTTCAATGAAAGGAAGTTTATTAATAAAACAGCTGTAGAAGGTTAGACCTGGAACATTGTTCTGAAGACTATATCGGTATCCAAGGATTGAGGGGAATAGCCTACAACAACAGCAACAACAAACACAACTATTGTTGTTCATGCCATATGTGATTCCAGCCACCATTGATTATATATTTACTTCAGTTTTCCCTAGCGCTTCTTGGTGCCATACTTCATTTAATGCTACCTTGATGTCAAAGGCTGTCACTATCTCCTTAATTCTGGAATTCTGTTTTTTGCTCCATATTGGGCCAGTGTTGTAATGTGGGCTTGGCACAGCCCAACATAATACTGTGAAGTGATAAAGTAAACAAAGGCTCATATTTTGATGGTCCAGTTTCTAAACAAAAGCTGCAAGAGTATGAGTCTAGCTCAAAAAGTTAAGCATGGGCCATTGAAGTGAATCCTCTCAGCACTACCTCCTCACTTGGAATGCTGTGAAAGTCTCCATAGATATCAGAGACCTCAGATAGTTCTGATGAAAATAATTAAAGTGGTTACTTATGAATAGTTAAACTATTATTTAATAATCAAAGTGCTGGATATGTATTAAAGTGAGCCCATGATTACCTCACACACCCCAACTATGCCTCCCCCTCACCTACAAAATCCCAACTACCCATTCCTATACTATTCTCTATACCAGACTCAACCCAACTCCCTCTTGCAACCCTGCCACACCCGATTTTTATTCCGCCCACCCAATCTACCCTTAACAGTTGTCTGCCATCTTGTACCCTGGCACTCTACCCCTCTCCCAGCTAGCATCCTACACACCTGGCACCCTAACCCTTTCCCATCTGGCATCTTATCACCTGGCACTGTATGCCCTCCCCATGGTATCTGTCAGGACTTTTACTTTTCAGAATATGGCAGCTGACTGGTGTGAAAATGGGGTGCAATTTGCCTTCCTCTGACTTCTACACTATGAAAGAATCACCAGAATGCAGATACAGCTCTGCATTTTTGAAGGAGCCCTGATCAGAATCTTCTCTCAGAAATGCAGGGCTCCCTTCAATTGTTTAAAATAAAATAGAATGGCTGCTACCCTCTGGAAAATCTGGCCCATGACTTTCAAGTGATATGTGTAAGTACACCTCTGAGTTACACTATTATCTGAATAAGTATTGAGCGTTGCAATCACCCATTGAATATCAGGGATACAAAATCAATTTTGCTTATTGAATCCAAGAAGCTATCTTAAGGCAGACCCAAATTTGAATTGCAACTCTAACCTACAGATATTTTCAAAAAGGAGATTGCAAAATAAACATGGGCCTTTTTATATAAAGAAGGGAGAACCACAAGTTTCAGGATACCATGGATAAACAAAAGCAGTCATAAAAAATTAAACTGGAGAGCTTTTGTATAAAGGTGTTAACTCTGGAAAAAGATTCAATCTGATAACAATGGTTGGAACATGATACTAAACCTTGCACCTTTAGCACAAAATGACTGTTTCTGTGGGAACTGAAACTGCAGGAAACTGTTGTGCTTTGTGCATGCTGTGTTTTTATTGAAGGATAAGGAGGGAGAGAATTGCACAAGCTACTTACTGGCGACTGTAACATACATTTTGCTGGAGCAAGGCCACATACCATTTTTAAAAACCTGAAGTTACAGTGCTCAATCTCAGTTAAATTGTTTTGGAATTCTTTTGTTGTTGGGGAAACTGTGGATTTTCTTCTAATAAAGAGCTATGCATACCAATCCCTTTAATTTTATTACATTATATATCTTCAAAATGTTCAATAGTAGGCTGGCATACAGACCTTTCTTTTTGGTTTTAAACACAGCCCAGACTGATTGGAGGAGATGTTGATACCTCATGCAAGTTTTAGGATGCATATCCTCTTTAAGATACATATTCTTCCAAAAAAATGGTTACTTGATAGTTTGCTGCATTTGCTTTTTTTAGTATAATTTTCCTTGGAGACAGCTTTTTTTTTATGAGCTGATAGATTATAAGACACAAAAATGTTTGCATGATAGAAATTCATTACATGTTGGGCAGGATCTGAAAGAGATAAATAGGTGAATATATCAGCTATTGCACTTCATAAGAGTTGTCACCGATTTCTCCATCCAAAACCAAAATTAGGCATTAAAGAAACAGCTGATGTGAAACAGATCTCCTCATAAGATTTGTTTCAAGGAATAGATAAACTGGAAATGAGAAATATCGAGAGAGAGCAAGGCAATGGAGTCTAATATCCTATTAACAGATGTTAAAAAGCTGTAAAAGGTCACTGTTTAACACTTCAATGTAATTGGATACCTCACTCTCAGGTATTGAGTTTGTAGCTGCCTAAAAATCTGCTGTTGTGAGTCTGATATGATGGGGAGGTGCCAGTGTTGGAGAAGGAGCAAGGCTTTGAAAGCTTGTGTTTTCAAATAAACCTGTTGGACTATAACCTGGTGTTGTGTGAGTCTGATAAGGTGAAAGAGACAGTGAGAGAAAAAGATAGAACTGAGATAGAGGAAAGACAAGACGGCAGAAAGAATTTTACCAAATCAAAAATGATTCAATCATAATTTGTGATGCTGAGAGGAAATGTTGTTCACAGGAAATATATTTTATATGTATTATTTACTTCACCAGCGTTAAAGATGCTGACTTGCATTTATTGTTGTCTCTTGCTGAGAGAGTTTTGATTACCAGTTTCGAAATATAAAATATAGGAAGGATTGTGTTAGTGAGTAGATTAGACAATTGCCTATCAATTTTTGTCAATACTCATGAGATGTGAACATCACTGGCTAGGCCAGCATTTATTGCCCATTCGTAACTGGGTTAAGAGTCAACCATGTTGCTGTAGGATTGGGATAGGCAGTGGCCTAGTGGTATTATCGCTAGACTATTAATCCAGAAACCCAGCTAATGTTCTGGGGACCTGGGTTTAAATCCCACCATGGCAGATGGTGAAATTTGAATTCAATAAAACAAAGCCTGGAATTAAAAATCCACTGGTCACCATAAAATCATTACCGATTGTTGGAAGAACCCATCTGGTTCACTAATGTCCTTCAGGGAAGGAAAATCTGCCATCCTCACCTGGTGTGGCCTACATGTGACCCCAGACCCACAGCAATGTGGTTGGCTCTCAACCGGCCTCTGAAATGGCCTAGCGAGCCACTCGGTTGTACCAATCACTACCAGATGGATCACCTGGCATCGACCTAGGCACCAGAACAGACAATGGCAGTAACTGCCCTGTCGACCCTGCAGAGCCCTCCTCACTAACATCTGGGGGCTAGTGCCAAAGTTGGGAGAGCTGTCTCACAGACTGGTCAAACTACACAGTCATACTCACGTTAGCATACCTTACAGACAATGTCCCAGACACCACCATTACCATACCTGGATATGTTCTGTCCCGCCAACAGGACAGACCCAGCAGAGGTGGTGGCACGGTGGTATACATTTGGGAGGGAGTTGCTCCAGGAGTCCTCAACATGGCTTCATGGCTTCAGGTTAAACATGGGCCAGGAAACATCCTGTTGATTCCCACATAGCATCCTCCCTCAGCTGATGAATCGGAACACCTCCGTGTTGAACAACACTTGGAGGAAGCACTGAGGATGGCAAGGGCACAAAATGTACTCTGGGTAGGGGATTTCAATGTCCACCACCAAGAGTGACTCAGCAGCAGTACTACAGATCGAGCTGGTCGGTCCTAAAGGACGTAGTTACTAGATTGGGTCTGTGGCAGGTGGTGAAGGAACCAACAAGTAGGTAAAATATACTTGACTTCATCCTTGCTGCAGTTGCATCTGTCCATGACAGTATCGTTAAGAATGACCATCGCACAGTCCTTGTGGAGATGAAGTCCTGCCTTCACGTTGGGAATAATATGCATTGTGTTGTGTGCCACTATCACCGTGCTAAATGGGACAGACTTCGTACAGATCTAGCAACTCAAGACTGGGCATCCATGAGGCACTGTGGGCCATCAACAGTAGCAGAATTGTACTCCAGCACTATCTGTAACCGTCAAGCAAGGGCATCGACCCTGGTTCAGTGGAGAGTGCAGGAGGTCATGCCAGGAGCAGCAGCATACCTGAAGATGAAGTGTCAACCTCATGAAACCACCAAGCTGGTCTACTTGCACGTCGAGCAGCAAGTGATAGACAGAGCTAAGCGATCCCACAACCAAAGGATCAGATCTAAGCTCTGCAGTCCTGCCACATCCAGTCGTGAATGGTGGTGGACAATTAAACAACTCACTGAAGGAGGAGGCTGCACAAATATCCCCATCCTCAATGATGGAAGAGCCCAGCACATCAGTGCAAAAGATAACGCTGAAGCATTTGCAGCAGTCTTCAGCCAGAAGTGCAGTGGGGATGATCTATCTCGACCTCCTCCAGTGGTCCCCAGCATTACAAATACCTGTCTTCAGCCAATTTGATTCATTCCACATGATATTAAGAAACAGTTGGAGACACTGGATACTGCAAAGACTATGGGGCCTGACAACATTCCAGCAATAGTACTGAAGACTTGTGCTCCAGAACTTGCCGCTCCCCTAGCCAAGCTGTTCCAGTACAGTTACAACACTGGTATCTACCTGGCAATGTGGAAAATTGCCCAAGTATGTCCTGTACACAAAAAGCAGGACCAATCCAATCTGGCCAATTACCACCCCATCAGTCTACTCTTGATCATCAGTAAAGTGATGGAAGGTGTCATCAATAGTGCTATCAACCAGCACCTGCTCAGTGACGCCCAGTTTGGGTTCTGCCAGGGCCACTCAGCTCCTGACCTCATTACAGCCTTGGTTCAAACATAGACAGAAGAGCTGAATTCCAGAGGTGAGGTGAGAGTGACACCCCTTGACATCAATGTTGCGTTCGACCGAGTGTGGCATCAGGGAGCCCTAGCAAAACTGGAATCAATGGGTATCAGGGGGAAAACTCTCCATTGGTTGGAGTCATACCTGACACGTAGGAAGATAGTCGTGGTTGTTGGAGGTCGATCATTTCAGCTCCAGGACATCACTGCAGGAGTTCCTGATGGTAGTGTCCTAGGCCCAACCATCTTCAGCTGCTTCATCAGATACCTTACGTCCATCATAAGGTCAGAAGTGGGGATGCTCACCAATGATTAGACAATGTTCAGCATCATTTGCAAGTCAACAGATACTGAAGCGGTCCATGTTCAAATGCAACAAGACCTGGACAATATCCAAGTGCTGACAAGTGGCAAGTGACATTCGCGCCACTACAAATTCCAGGCTATGACTGTCACTAATAAGAGACAGTCTAACCACCGCCCCTTGACATTCAATAGTGTTACCATCCCTAAATCCCCCACTGTCAACAGCCTGGGGGTTATCATTGACCAGAAACTCAACTGGACTCACCACATAAACACAGTGGCTTCAAGAGCAGGTCAGAAGCAAGTAACTTACCTCCTGACTCCTCAAAGTCTGTCCACCATTTACAAGGCACAAGTCAGGAATGTGATCGAATACCGCCCCCCCGCTTACCTGGATGAGTGCAGCCCCAACAACACTCCAAGAAGCTGATACCATGCAGGACAAAGCAGCAAGCTTGATTAGCGCTACATCCACAAGCATCCTCTCCCTCCATCACTGACGCTCAGTAGCAGCAGTGTGTACTAGCTACAAGATGCGCTGCAGAAATTCAGCAAAGATCCTCAGACAGCACCTTCCAAACCCATGACCACTTCCATTTTGAAGAACAAGGGCAGCAGATGTATGGGAACACCACCACCTTCAAGTTCCCCTCCAAGCCACTCCGCATCCTGACTTGAAAATATGTCTCAATTCCTTCACTGTTGCTGGGTCAAAGTCCTAGAATTCCCTCCCTAATGGCATTGTGGGTCAACCTACAGCAGGAGGACTGCAGCAGTTCAAAAAGGCAGCTCACCACCACCTTCTCAAGGGCAACTAGTGATGGGCAATAAATGCTGGCCAGCCAGTGACGCTCACATGCCACAAATGAATAGAAAAAAAACATGTAGGCCAAACCAGTTAGGGATAGCAAATTTCTTTCCTTTTTAAAGGACATTGGTGAACCAGATGAGGTTTTATGACCATTGACAGTAGTTACATGGTCATTACGAGACTAGTTTGTTGTTTCGGATATTCCAGTTCTAGGACCAATGTTTAAATCTTAGCCAGACTGATAAGGGAAAATCTCTACTGGCTGCAATTGTCGCTCCAGTAAACTGGATTTTAATTGTCAGAATTTTAGTCACTCCTGTTCCCACTGTAGAAATACCTAAATCTGACAGTGGTTGGCAGTTTCACTCAGTGTAGGGATAACAAAAAATTGGTGTGCTATTTTGGTGTTTAAGGTTTCCCTTTTATTTTAAAATGTTGGAATGTAGCAGAAGAAATTTTACTGTAGTTCTGCAGATACAAGATGTATCGCTTTTCCCATAATTAATTATGACAACCTAAGAAAAGAACTATATAGTCAGTGAGCTTAACCTGCTTTGTTTTGATTAAGGCTATAAATGGATTTCCTTTCAAGAAAACTTAACTTTTGTTTTCTGTGTCTGAATTCAGAGAAGAAAGCTGACTGCACCATAACTATGTCTGATGATGATTTGTTAGCTCTGATGACTGGCAAGATGAATCCCCAGACAGTAAGTAGTTTCCATATAAAACGTTAAATAGAAGGCAGGATTTATCAAATCGATTGCTTTCTTTTCAAATTGCAGACTATTTGGCTAAATGCCTTTTTCCTGCATTCCATCACTTGTTGTAGCAAAATGAATAATGGAAACAAAATGCAGACATGGCATCAAACTCCCCAAACATACACGACGATACACTTTGCTGGAAAATTGCATTCTATTAAGTTTACTTTTCAGTGCTATAGCTCACTTGAAAACTCAAAGTTCACATGAATGGACTGGAAAGACACAAAATCTTGATAAATCCTGGAGAAGAGCCCCCACTTCTATCAAAAATGAAGGAATTACCACCTGCCCACCCCGAACCTACTGCCCAAACTACATTGAAATGCAGAGCCAATCACATTCCTGCCAATGAATGACTCAGCTCAGCCATTGCAGCATACTTAGACTTCTTTGATTAATTTTAGTTCACGTGAATAAATATATCATGGATTAAGGAAAATATAACAATATCAATACAACTTTAATAGGGGAAATTTTGGATCTTTGGTAATGTAGTGTGCACATGTATGACAATCACTTCTTCCTCTTCATTGAATAGACATGGGTATATGTCTTTTTTATGACTTGCATTTATTGTTGTGTCCAGAGGGCAGTAAGAACCAATTACGTGCTTGATTTTCTATGGGTCTTTTTCCTGCCAGCCAAATTGTCCAATTTAAAATTCAGTTGCACAACTTGCCATGGCTGGGTTTGAATTCATGACCTTCAGTCTCCTAGTGTTACAACTGTTTGGCTACCGAACCTATGGTAACCGTTATGTTAATTTTGAGTACTCACTGAGTCAGGTACAGCTCCTCTAATCAATGTGCTACTTCGCAATTAGCAATACAAGAAGTAAAGTTAAGAATTTAAATTCTGCAAAATGTTGGTGAAAATAAGAGACCACTTGGGATACTATAAACCAAAAAATGTTGCTAAATAAACTGAGGCACAAAGGGACCAGAAGCAAAATTCTACCTCTTGGGTCCAAGTTCCCAAACTTGAGATGTCATGCAGAATTATCCCCTCCCTGAGATGGCGAGAATAATGATAAGTGCAATGGCATAATTGGGTGAGAGTGTTTAAAAAAAATCATATTCCCTCCAAGAAAATATCACTCATTTAATTTTTCACACCTTAGATGGTGAGATTTTGATCATGGAGTTGAAAAGCTATTTGCACGCATTTCTATCTCATTAATTGCAAAACTAGTTGTATTACCATCGTGCTCCCAATTTGCAAATCAGCTGCACAATCCAAAATGATAAGTGTAAGTAATTTTATTTTCCTCTGGTGGTAGAGCTTGGGACATTTTTGAGGCATTGCAGTGGTCAGGCTTCCAACGGATTAAGCCATTATATCCTTCTGCTTAAAATTCTCACTTCATCTAGAGATCAGTACTGATCAAAGAATCTACATACGCCCTGAACCAATCATGACTATTCCATTGTGACAGTGGGTGACCCTTTGTAGTCTCAATGTGACAAGGAAATTAAAAGCAGAAACTGATATTCCCAGTTGGCCAGGCAAATACTGGAAGAACATATGGTAGCAGCTGCTGTATACTGTCTCAGAAGTGTAAGTCTTTGGGCTGTGATATGGAAGGTGACTGTGGGGGTCATGCTTCATGCGTATCTGCTGGCAGAAGCCTTCCTCCAGTGGAGCATGGACACTTTATCCACAGTACATTTGATAAGGTCACATGTGTCATCTCTTCTATTGAGACGTGACTATTAACTCGGTGTAACCCTGTTGGCATAACATTCAGCTTAATTGTTAAAGGCTCAGGAAAACAGTGTGATCTCTGAATTTCCCCACAGATTCTCTTTCAAGTGGACATAAATGGCAGATGTCAATTTAGTCTTTTCTTGTGGCATTGATCTACTGAGAAAGAATAAGAGAAGGAGACAAGAGTTTCAGCAAACCCAGCAGCAATAACAGCCTCCAGTGTCAGCTGCACTGTCTGTAAAGGAGAAGCCACAGGACAGGATCCCCTAAAGATGCTCAAAGGAACTGACTTTATAATGTTTGCTGCTGTTATCACCAAATGATGGAACAGTAATGACAGGGACTTGGTGCAGACTCAGTGGGCTGAAGGGTCTCTTCTGACTCTATGACCAAGAATCTCCCAATCCATCATTTCGAAGAATGAGGACTTGCATTAACAATGATTGGGTGGCAGTCCTATCCCAGGGCCTATCTAGGTCACTTTACCTTTAATTTGTTAGCTAGCAGATTGTTTTGGAAGGAACTGGGGACCTCTGTGTCATCCATCAGTGTATCACTCAGATGTGTGTCCAGGATATTGCTGATGCCGTTTTCAACAGAGACCACCTCTTCACCATTGAGAGTCAAACAGCTAAGGCATAAGGACTCTCGGACATCATTGGCTTCTCCAGGTGCAGGCCACTGCCGGTTTACCCGTGTTGCTTTGGGAGCGCCTCATCACCAACCAGGGTCATTTGTGAACTTGAAAGGACTGTAGTTCGTTACTGTTCAATGAATTTGTGACCAATGAGGCCACATTGTAGGCCTTTGCTGGACATCCTGGATATGCCACACTACTCCTGTATATTGAACATTCAGAGGTGCCAGACTCTCTCTTTAAGATTCTTGACTGATAAAGGGATGTCTGCTGGGAGACCAGGAGTACCCCATCTAAAACCGGCTCATGAGAGCCATAAGAAACCCACAGACTGGCACAGAGTAAACATACAGTGCTGCCCACATTTCCATCAGGGCTGTGCAGAACAGACCTTCAGAGAATTGCTCAGGGAGGGCTCTGCATATAACCCAGACAGGGGGCACTGCATTTTTATTAATTCACAGGATCAGGGTGTCATTGGCTAGGCTAGCATTCATCGGACATCCTTAATTGCCCAGAGATTAAGAGTCAAGTTAAGAGTTAACCACATCGGCGTGTGTCTGAAGACCAGACAGGTGAGGATGGCACTAAAGGACGTTAGTGAACCAGATGGGATTTTCCGAAAGTAGTTTCATGGTCATCATTAACTCTTTGTACGAGATTTTTATTGAAATCAAATTCCATCTGCAATGGCAGAATAAAAACTCAGGTTCCCAGAACATAAACTTAATCCACAGACCAGGTAAACAATCCAGCGATAATACCACTAGACCATTGTCTCCCCTTGTACTGTGTCCTTCACAATTTGGCCAACAAATAGGATTCTTGGCTGCAAAGGAAAGGGGAGTTAGGACAATTAAGGATGAAGGTGAGGGTCAGGATTAATAGAACGCTTGGAAGATGTATCCATGTGAGGAATGCATGTGGTTTCACGGAGCCCAAGAAGCTGGAGACTACCTAATTGTCAGCTGCTTTGAGAATGACGTGGCTGGATTGAAACTTTGTATTTAAATTGCTGATATTACAAGCAGGACCCTGCATTAAGTAAATGCAAGGTCTAACTTGTTTGGCTGCTTTGTTTTTTCTATTACAGAATAAATTTTGCATTATCCTTTTTAATGTCACAATGAAGTTTTCAGTCAAACTTACAATAAATTAGCTACATAAAAATTGTTATATATTACTGTTGGTAAAAAGCAGCAGTGAGGCAGTGCACTTACATGGTACTAAAATTGCGTAGCTCTGAAATTACCTGAGAGAGTATGACATACAAGTCATCAAGAATCTACTCTTCCATGAAAGCCATCAGGTTGAGAAGAACCCTGATAAATTTCCTCCAGACCCTTTCATTTGGTTCTCTTCAATGCTTCAGAGTGCACAGAAACTATAACGTTACTTAGATTTGCATTACCATGCTCTACGACAGCATTTAACATGCAGGGCAATATTTTGTGCACTTTTTTAATCCATACCATTTCACTATGAGGGAGATTGGATACATAACATGTCACAGCCTTGAATGTGCCTTGTAGGTTTCATACAATGTTTCCCCACTGAGATGTGTGCAATTATCATTAGATGAGTGAAAGTTTTATTTATTCACTTGCGGGATGTGGGCATCGCTGGCTGGCCAGCATTTATTGTCCATCCCTAGTTTCCCTTGAGAAAGTGGACATGAGCTGCCTTCTTCAACTGTTGCAGATCAGCCTACAGCATGCCCTTAGAGAGGGTAAAGTGTTGAATGATGTGTGCAGGAATGATGTTTATGCCCAGGCAACTTCCCTTTTACATCACCTTTACCCTGGGGAAAGTGAAGGGGCTGGGCAGCTCTGGGGTGCTCTTTTAATAAGCTTTGGGTTTCCTGTACCGTTTCCCTGACGGAGGAGTACTTGGAGTGAGATCATCCCTCATCCTCCTTTTACATTGCCATTGTTGCTGAGCATCCAAGGGTAAAGTGAAATGTAGCTCTAAGCACATATCCAGTACATTTTACGTTCTCCTTTATATATTCACTTTGATTTCGTGGTGGACAACTCTGTGCTGCTCCTGCTCAGAACTAACTTCAGGGAGACACCTATATTTGCAGTCAGTAATCCTCACTATGTCACTCTTTCTCTCTTTTGTTACAATTTTAAATGACTGCAACCCTAACAAAAGAATGCATGATGATTATATAGTTTTAAAAATTTCAAAGGTAAAGTTGTATAGTGCTACATTCTTGAAGTCAGAATTTGAAAGGAAGCCAGACTAAAAGCACTCATTCAATAAGTCCAAAAGGACGCTTTGGGTGAGAAATGGAAATAACACTTGAAGCAATGATTGAGCTTTACTTTGTACCAAATTTCTCCCTAAGTTGAGAGTCAATTGAATAGATGCCCTGTGTGTAAAAGAAAGTGAGAATGGGTTTCATTACAATGACTTGTATCATGTGGAGAATACTTCTTTTAAAATTATTTTTCTCTTTTAGGCCTTCTTTCAGGGGAAGCTGAAAATTGCAGGTAATATGGGCCTGGCCATGAAACTTCAAAATCTACAGCTTCAGCCCGGCAAAGCCAAACTGTGAAAATTCATCCCAAGTGATTTTCGCAGCTATCCAGACAACAGCACCAGCCTCTGACCTCGTGCAATGCAAGTGGCAGGTTACTAGAGAGGAGGTTAGGAGCCACTATCTTCATGTTTGAAACAATCTGGACTAATTTCTGATACTTTCTAATTACACTTGAAGTTTGTAATACTGATATCTTGCTGAGCAGATTTGGGAAAATTCAATTAGTTATGTTCTAGCTGATTCAGTCGATTTCTGAAAATGATGTAAATGTAACAAAATATATTTTGTAAAATGCTTTATTACTAGCTATATCTCTGCATCGAACAAGTACAGCTATCAGACTTTGTTATTAATGGATCAGTTGTCTGACTTATTTACACCAAGTACACTGTTTAAATTTACCTTACCATTGAGTTCATTAAATTATCACCTTTGCAATTCCTTAATCAACAAACTTTCAGGATTTAATATGCCAGATATTATAGTATCCCTGGTAATAAAATAAAATAACTCCTACTTTATGTCTTTGTGAATTACTGACTTATTTCATTTCTGGATTCATTTTGGGACACTATGGTAATGGAAAATGCTGCCAAGTGTGTAAACTATTTTACCATGTTTTTATAGCTAATGGTAACTTTAAAAATCTAAATAATTATAACAATTGATGTCACTGGGCAAAACAGCATCCATGTACCTGGGTAGAGGGCTTTGTTTAAAATAAAACATCTTTTTTAATATCTGGTTTATATATTTTAGAAATTTCTGGGCAATTTACTGAATGAATTGTCTGACCAAAAAAACAAAAGATTCAATAATCACATGGAATACAGGAGCAACCAGCTTTTTGGATACAGAACTGGCTCGAAGGTAGAAGACAGAAGATGATGGTGGAGGGTTGCCTTTCAGACTGGAGGCCTGAGACCACTGGTGTGCCACAAGGATCGGTGCTGGATCCACTGCTTTTCGTCATTTATATAAATGATTTGGATGTGAACATTAAAGGAATGGTTAGTAAGTTTGCCGATGACACCAAAATTGGAGGTGTAGTGGACAGCGAAGAAGGTTACCTCAGAGTATGATAGGATCTTGATCAAATGGGCTGAGGCGTGGCAGATGGAGTTTAATTTAGACAAATGTGAGGTCCTGCACTTTGGAAAGGCAAGTCAGGGCAGGACTTATACACTTAATGGCAAAGTCCTGGGCAGTGTCACTGAACAAAGACCTTGGACTGCAGGTCATAGTTCCTTGAAAGTGGATTCACAGGTAGATAGGATAGTGAAGAAGGCGTTTGGTGTACTTGCCTTTATTGGTCAGTGCATTGAGTATAAGAGTTTGGAGGTCATGTTGAGGCTGTACAGGACATTGATGACGCTACTTTTGGAATACTGCTTGCAGTTCCGGTCTCCCACCTATAGGAAGGATGTTGTGAAACTTGAAAGGGTTTTGAAAATATTTACAAGGATGTTGCCAGGGTTGGAGGGTTTGACCTATAGTGAGAGGCTGAATAGGCTGGGGTTATTTTCCCTGGAGCATCGAAGGCTGAGGGGTGATCTTATAGAGGTTTATAAAATCAAGAAGGGCATGGATAGGGTGTATAGACAAGGTCTTTTCCCTGGGGTGTGGGAGTCCAAAACTAAAGGGCATAGGTTTAAGGTGAGAGGGGAAAGATTTAAAAGGAACCTGAAGGGCATCTTTTTCATGCAGAGGATAGTGCATTTATGGAATGAGCTGCCAGAGGAGATGTGGTGGAGGCTGGTACAATTACAACATTTAAAAGGCATCTGGATGGGTATATGAATAGGAAGGGTTTAGAGGGAAATGGGCCAAATGCTGGGAAATGGGCCTAGATTTATCTAGGATATCCAGTCAGCATGCATGAGTTTGACCGAAGGGTCTGTTTCTGTGCCGTAAATCTCTATGGCTCTGTAATAACCAGCAGGGACTGTTTAATATTTTTACCAAAATGCAAATTCCAACTATTTTTCTGTTGGTCAAAGTTTGCTTGATTGTTGAAGCCAGTTTTTTTTTTTTAATTTGCAGCTGTTTTGTTTCTTGCCCCTCTTGTCACTCCACTGTTGGGAGATCATTTAAATTTTAAATTTGGATTTAAAGCATGTGGAGATTTTGATTCTGTTTGTGTGGTTGTGCATATTACACTACATGCCTAAAGTATAAAGTAATTCTGATTAACCAGCATATAAAATGAAGCAGGTTGACTGTAGATGTAAGTAGCAGCTGATCACAGTCCATTTAGATTAGCTAGAATGTTGAAGCCATCTGAATACATCAGTTTCAGAGGAATTGCTGGCAGTCACCGTTTTGGACTTCTGCTGACTGAAAGTTCATTTTTATGATGAGCATGTTTTGTGATGAATATTTCCAGATTCTTCTTTATTGGTGAGTCAACATACTAGAATTTTTTTTTTCATTCCTTTGTTTTCAATAAATAAAAAATTACAGGCACCATAACTAGGATTTCCTGATATGCAACAGCTGTGTGTGACCCTACCAACAATGCAGGGCCTTGCAGAATGGTCTTGTTATATAGAGAAGAAATCTGATAAAAAGTCCCAAATTTGTTTTGTAACTTTGATCCTGTGTTCCTTATCACGGTTTCCTCTTGGTGTCTAGGCTTGTCTTGATGACCCCAGTTTATCATCTCTGTCTTTTAATCATCTCTGTCGTATCTCCTAAAACCTTTATCAGCTGACAAGCCAAATTGTTGTTAAAATTTATAGAAATAGGAGCAGGAGTAGGTCATCTGTCCCTTTGAGCCTACTCTGCCATTCAATATTATCATGGCTGATCATCCAACGCAGTGTCTCATAGAATCCCTACAGTGTGAAAACAGGCCCTTCGGCCCAACAAGTCCACACTGACCCTCAGAGCATCCCACCCAGACCCATCGCCCTATAACCCACCTAATCTATACATTGCTGAACACTATGGGCAATTTACCATGGCCAATCCACCTAGCCTGCACATCTTTGGACTGTAGGAGGAAACTGGAGTACCCGGAGGAAACCCACGCAGACACTGGGAGAACGTGCAAACTCCACACAGACAGTCGCCCAAGCGTGGAATCGAACCCAGGTCCCTGGCGCTCTGAGGCAGCAGTGCTAACCACTGAGCCACTGCGCTGCCCCATCTAGTTCCTGCTTTCTCCCCATATGCTTTTAGACCGAAGAACCATATCTAACTCCTTGAAAACATTCAATATTCGGGCCCCAACTGCTTGCTGTAGCAGAGAAATCCATAGAAATCCTCTGCCTGATCTTGTCACTACCTTCCAAATAATCTGCTGCTACATCTTTTATATCTTCCCCATTACAGATCTCAAACTAACTCGTCTATATTTTGTCTCTGTATCCCTTCTTTAATCGTGGGATTACATTAGCTACCCCCCAATCTATAGGAACTGTTCCAGAGTGTATGGAATTTTAGATAATGATCACTAGTGCATCTAGGGCCACTTCTTTAAGTATTCTGGGTTGAAGCTTTTTATGCCCTGGGTATTGATCTGCCTTTAATCCCATTAGTTCCCTAATACTATTTCCCTATTAATATTAATTTCTTCCAGTTCCTTCTTCCCGTTAGGCCCTGTGTTCCTCCATATTTTTGGATGTTATTTCTGCCTTCCTTTGTAATGACAGAGCATATTTAAAGTATGCATTTGTCGGCCATCTCTTTCTGTTCCCCATTTATAAAATCCACAGTTTCTGGCTGTAGGAGATCTATTATAATGATTGGAATGAGGTCAGCCATGTGGACCGCAGAGAATATGAGTTATCTGATTGGACCAGATTAACTGCCCCAATCAGGGAGCCCTGACTGACAGATATAAACAGGAGTGTCAGGGGTTCTGCTCACTCTAGGGGCTGGTTCTGTATGAGCTGGGTCAGTGTCATGTATTACGCATGTGTAAATAATGGGTAACTGGGTGATGGGGTACCAGTCTTCGGGGAGTTATTTCAGTGGCGACAAGAGAAAAACACCTCCATTGAAGAGATTCACTCTCAACAGTCGTCTTTGAGTTGGGGTAAGCATTTCTGGCATCATGCCACTATTTGGGAAGCTTGACTCATTCAAAGACTGAGCCCAGTGTGTGGAAAGAATGTGTTATTTTTTCCAAGCAAATGACATTGTGCCAGATGAAAAGCAACAAGTAATTCTCTTAACTTTTCCTGAGGCACCAAATACTAAAACCTTGCAAGAGTTCATGGAAATAACTAAGGAATATTACGATCCCAAGCCTCCTTTAATTCTGAGATGCTATCAGTTTTGCTCGTTATGTTCAAGAGCTAGGGGAATCCCTTTTGGGATTTTTGACAAGGTTAAGATGACTGGCAGAAGCATGTGATTTTGGTGTAACCCTCAGTGAGATGCTGAGAGACCGTTTGGTGTGTGGGATTAATGATGTGACCATGCAAAAGTTCCTACAAGCTGAAGCCCAACTGGACTTCAAACAGGCACAACAGCTGGCTTTGTCATTAGAAAATGCAACAAGTGGAGCTTATGAGTTACAGGGTATTCTGACGGAAGTGGATACCCTCACCAGGCTGACTGAGTTTGGGGAACACCACTTGAATGAAGGCAACTGCATAGCTTCACTCAGGACATATCCTGAACAGAGGGACTCTAGGTCAGCCCACAGCAATACCCCAAAACAAAGCCAAATGGTTAACATCATCTTCAGATCCAGGCTGGCAAGCCATTGTAGTTGCTGCCAGTATGAGGATACGAGACAGGAAGTGAGTCCTAACAGACCTCAATGGATTAAGAAAACTCAGGCTTGTATCTGGGAGAGTGGCTTGGAGCAGTTAAATTGCTTAGCAACATCCAAATCAGAATCAGTCAAAATAAACGTCTGGTTAAATGGTCACTTGGTTCGAATAGAGGTTGATACCAGCGTGGCTGTATCAGTGATTGCAGAATCATTCTTCAACCAAGTTTGCTGTGAACTCCATCTCTTAAGGCCTCAGCCTGGCTGAGAACCTCTACCAGGGTATCTCTACAGATTAAGGATGGTCTCGTGTTAGAAGCACCTGGTTCAGTTACCACTGATTGTAGTAAAAGGCTCGGGCCAAAACTTGACGGGGTGAAATTGATTGAGAAAAATTCACCTAGATAGGCTCAAAATTTTCAATTAGAAAATGGCTGCCTGAGTGAAGTCTGAATTAAATAAGGTCTAAGGGCTATCAAAGGAGCAAAAGCCACCTTACATGTTGACCAGGAAGCAATTCCACAATTCTCCAAGGCCTGCCCGGTGTCCTTTGCCTGACATGCAGAAGTAGAGGCAGAAATCAAGAGGCTCGAAGACAAAGGGATCATCAAATCAATCCAGTTTGCGGAATGGGCAGCACCAGTTGTCCTGATTGTGAAGCTTGATGGGTAAGTTCACCTTTGTGGGATTTTAAACAAGCAGTAAACCAATATTCACAGCTGAATAAATACCCAGTCCCTTGCATAGAGGTCTTATGCACAAAACTGGTTGAGGGGCTTCTGTCCTTCACAAAGCTGGACATGAGCCATGTGTACCTGCAATTGTGATTGTATGAGGATTCCTAGAAGCATGCTATAATTAATACACATAAGAATTTTACCAATATACAAGACTGCCCTTTGGGGTATCATCAGCCTGTGCCATTTTCCAGGAGATGGAGAACATTTTACAATGTCTACCCCCATTTATCATGATGACGTGCTAATACCAGGGAATACTAATAAAGAGCATTTAGAGTACTTAGACATTGTGTTTAAATGTTTCTCCAAAGTGGGTTTATGCCATAGGAGGGGAAAAATGTGTGTTCCAGGTTCCCCAGATGACCTACATGGGCTACAATGTTGACAAGACTGGGTTACATCTGTTAGAAGATAAAATGAGGGTGATCAAAAGTGCCCCAGCTCCCACGTCTATACTGGAGTTTAGGTCTTCCCTTTTGTTGGTGAATTATTATGGAAAATTCATACATGACCTGGCCTCCGTCCTGGCACCCTTGCATCTGCT